TTATTCAGAAACAGCGTAGCAGCATATGGAACATAGTTGTTTTTCTCTCGTTATCTACCATTTTCGTTCATTTTATGAACTATTAAGGTAATGACTTTGAATTTCTCTCTTTGTGACCATTGCATTCCACTTTGAGTATTAGGCTTCTTCCTAGCCAGCCACTCCCATTTCATCTGAAATGGGAGCTTGTTTTGGAGTGTTTCTTTCCATGCCAGGTGGCGTTCGGCGTTCGCGTTCATTTCGCGGACGTCGAACGCCTCGCGTGGTATAAATGCTGAGATGCGTTTCTGTTGGGTCAGGTCTCATAGACCCCAGCTCACCAGAAGAGCTTAGATTAATAATAAAAAACCTAAAGACGCGTAAAGCCCCAGGCATGGACAACATACCAAACAGAGCCCTAAAGGCCCTGCCGAGACGCGGAATAGCCGCACTGATCAACATTATCAACGCTATACTGAGACTACCTACGTTACTTTCCAAATGATTGGAAGATTGCTACAGTAATAATGATCCCAAAGCCAAACAAGAATCACACGTTTCCACAAAACCACCGTCCTATCAGTTTGCTCCCATCCATGAGCAAAGTGGCAGAACGCGTCATCCAGAGACGGTTAACAACGATGTCAGAGGAACTTAACGTAATTCCAAACGAACAATTTGGTTTCCGGCGAAACCACTGCACAGAACTCCAAGTTCTCAGAATAGTAGATTACGCGATTACAGGATTCAATCTCGGAAAAGGACACTGGAGCAGTCTTCCTTGACGTTTCGAAAGCATATTCGACAGGGTCTGGCACGACGGACTACTGACCAAAATGGCAGACTACGGGTACTCGATATCTATGGTAAAGCTAATAGCCTCCTTTCTGCGGGGAAGGCGATGCCAATGTAAAGTTGGCAACGAAATCTCTGCAGAGAGGGAGCTAGAAGCAGGAGTACCGCAAGTTGCGGTCCTCTCACCACTACTTTTCTCCATTTTTACCGCCGATATCCCTAAACCCGCGAACAACTTTAACAAACTCGCACTATACGCCGACGACACAGCCATAAATGCCAGATCCAGCAACGCAGACATGACAGTACGATACCTACAAGAACAAATAGACACACTAGAAACTTGGTTTAACAACTGGAAAATAGAAATCAACGCAGAGAAAAGCCAAGCTGTTCTCCTCACTAGAAGACGTACCAAACCCACAGGACACGTAGTGTGGTGTGTGTGTGTGGGTCAGGTTCGCACCAGATAGCGGTCAAGAAGCTGTCTGGGACAGCCCTGCACTGATGAGAGCCAACAGCTCGAAACCGGTCAGCAGGTAGTCACGTGTTCCTGAACCACTTAAGCGCAGCTCGGCGTTTAGGAAGGAAACACTTGCGATTTTATTCGTCTGTACGAATTATTGCATAGATTTCGGGAGGATGTAATCCAATATTCTGCGTGGCATATAGCTAGAAAAATAGTTGTTTTTCTCTGGTTATCTACCATTTTCGTTCATTTTATGAACTATTGTGGTAATGACTATGAGTTTCTCTTTTTGTGATTCTACATAATTTGTTCTAATATTTTCGATAAAAAAGAGGCCATAGCTTTTGGGGATTTTTCACATTGACATTGACTGAAAATGTTAGCCCCCATAAAATGAACAAATTCTCCATAATCTGAGGCGTGAGGTGATGGTAATGCAGACATGATGATGATATTTAATCGTTCAAATATGCTGCTTCTTCTCAGATTGAAATTGTTTATTTGTAGTCGTGATACTCCAGATATATAATGTTTGTGGGCAATTTTTCACAGAATCTAGAACTGGTAATCCAGATGTTTCTCCTTCATATATATTTTTTTTAGATTCAGATTGTGCAGCAACCGATTCATTCTCTCAATGCGAAGAGACCTTTCAATAAACATAATAAGCCTGTCTTTTTTTAAATCTTTGATCGCACGAAAGGAAATTTCTATAATGTTCGTGGAACATCGTGGCGCCTGGTGATGTTAATAGATTCATTTTAGTGTAATTCCATGATTGCATCTCTTCAATCCACTAGTACTGAGCTACAGCAAGCTATGTAGTCAATTTAATACATGCTTCATTTCACGAGTGGGTTCATTAAATCCTGTTAGTTCAAATTATTTTTTCTTCGTAAGTTCACCTCAATATATTAACAATCTTCACACAGTACAACAGTGGCGTAGCTACCAAAAAGAAAGATTCTATTACTTTTTAATTTGCTTTATGATGTTGCTAACTATGAAAAAATGATTTCGTGATCATTTTATGTAAATTCATGTTAATAATCATTAATAATATTATTTATCAGACACAGATCCCGAGAAGGTACCGAAATTGTTTGGCTCCATACTAATGGTCCTATCGCTAAGCTAGATGATGATTTCTACTCATATTCGCGGGAATCAATGCCACCAGGTGGCGCTCGGTTTTCATCGTTCCATGTCAAAGCCACGTCAAAACTGGGAGAAAACAAACTCGATCCTCACTCAATCCCATTAGTGCCATTAGGTTGTGTACTGTGTACTGATAAGAGTGATAAGTTTTTGAATTTCTTGACATTAATTGTCAATATTCGATCGATAACGCTAATAATGCCCGTTGTAGATGTTCTTTTGGCAGATATTTTGCTCTATTTAGATGGACCACTAGTGGGAGGAGAAGCAGTTCTCCGTGCTAATCATGTGATTTTGTGTGAGGCAGAAGACTTCAACAAAAGGCACATTTTTGCACTTTGTCTACAAACTTCGGCGATGAAATCTTCCCCACATGAAGTAAAATTGAAGTTGGGGTCCAGAGGAACTCCTGTAGAACAATGGATTTGTATTTGTTCATGCAAAGCAGGACAATCTGGGTATTAAAAACATGTAGCTGTTCATTTATGTGTCAATTGATTTGCTCATCATAATTAGTTCGAATTGTTTGAACTATCTCCAATTCTTCACCCGTTCACTGTTCACTAAACTAATAAATATGTAATGATGTAAAAAAATTAACCAACTCAACTACCAACAGTGCCAACACATGTCATTGACAAGTTTGACTACAGCTACAGCAAGCTGAATGCAATGTAGTCTATGCACTTTATCCATAGACAACAGTTTGTTTTCCCCCAGTTTGAAGTTCGTATTATGTAACCTAGATGTCGCCCACTTCGTGAATCTCGCGAATAAAACATGTTTTCAATCGACTTCGAAGTTAAGTACAAGTTTGATTAATGTCACGAAATTGATCGTTAATTACCACTATTAACGATCAATTTGTATATTAACCAACGAATATGGTATAGAAAAACCAAACATACACTGCATCATTCCAGGCATTTAAATCGAAAATTTGGATTTCACCGAAGATTTTACGTTAACGGGTTAGCTTTTTAATGTTTCTGAACCGATTTTGATTCCTGTTTTCTAACACATATTGAAAATTCTAACAAATGTCAAATGTCAGTGACTTTCATGGCTACCAGATGATTGTTATTAGTTTCCGGCTGAATTATGAATTTGCGAACCAACTTTCCTTTATTGCAGGAGAAAGATAGTCGACTCGACGAAAAAATTGTCTAACCAACTCCCATTTTATAATCAGGCGACCAATGATCTCGCTTTGCATGCACGTTAATATATCTCGATCAATAATCGCCCTCATCAATACAATAGTTGGTCAAATAATTATTTCCTCCAGGCCCACTTTTTTAAGTTGCGCCACTGTAGTACAAAATATAGTTTGTAGGTAGAAAAAAGTGTAAAAACACTCGTGGAATGAAGTTCAATTAATAATTTTGTTAAGTATAATAGTATATTATTCAACGAGCGTAAATAATAACGACTATCACTAACGACATTTAAATTTGTAACACGAACCGATTGTGGTAAGTGCTGTGATCATCATTATATGCGCCTGTTGAATACTATACTTTATCTACAACTATTCGAATAATAATAAAGACACTCTGAGGGCTCAATAATGAATATTAGCCCTTGTATGCGGTATCGTATCTTTATTGAATCAATTGATTGACACCATAAATGATGGTGATATCTTTGAAACCATAGATATACAGGGTTGATGAAAAAGTGCGAAAAAATTCAGTTTTTGATTTGTTTTTGAGATACAGGTTGTTGAAGCTGGAAGTATTAGTTCTCTTTTCTCGAATAAGTAATCTCAATCTCTACTAGTCCCTTGAAATGCTTTATGAAACCGAATCCAAACCCCAAGAAGAAGCTGCAAATCAAAAACATTACAGGATTCAAGAAAATCCCTCAACAAGCATCCACAAATAATGTTAACCCTCATTGCAGTTGGGGACGTCATGGCCAGTGGGAACTCGAATGAGATGTGATAATGACGTATTTTGTCTAACGTGTGCTATCTGGGTACTAATGAATGACATTACTATTGAAATTCGAACACGTGGTAGATGTATACTTGATAGTTGTAGATAATACTATTGAATTCAATTAGGAGAGATGCCAAGATGCACACACATAACACTAGCTTTGTTTCAAGTACCTTTCCTGTGGAATTTGTTGGATAATATTATCCTCGATTATATGGCCGTTTTAACAGTTTTAACACTGGGTTCACTAAAATGGAATCAAGTAAAAAGTTCACATTAAGTGTTATAATTTGCACTTTTCAATAAGAGGCTCAATACTAGTGAATCAGATTAAAATGATGATATAAAAATTAAATAAAGATATCTGTAAAGTGACTACAAAGATGAATTATGGTAGTATGTAGTTCAAATGGAGTAATGGGTGATGAAATAATTATATAGCTAATGAGTATACCTTGAGACTTAATTGAATACAACATGATTCATTCGACTGAAATTTCATCGAAATAAAGATTCATCCAACCATAAAATGAGCAATAATATTCAATAAATTAGGTTCGAAGCTCAAAAATGTCATACTGCCTGAGTGCAAATCACTTCTACTAGTGAATTAAGACAAAATTACAAATAGATAGTGGGAATTATAGAACACTTACCTCTTCTTCAGGGATCTCCAGATTTTCTTCTTGAATACGAATAGAAAGAAAATGACGACACCATAAATAGCATTGGTAAAATCGGTCAAATACCAAATCCAAGTGGGTGATTTATTTATCTTCCAGGTAACCACCCAAGATATCAGTTCCATCGACCAATTTATACCCATGGCGAGCATCAACTTCAGATATAGGTTGAATCTGTCGAACATAGTTATTTAAGTGATGGAAGTAGTATAAAGTGCAATTATTGTATTACTTTTCGATGTAAACAAACATAATATGATAACCATCCATAAATCCTGTCTTTCATCATTTTCTGGATCAATTTTTGTTCAGTGTTTACACTCCTGAAGTGCATTATAGTTATTTTCCTAACAAGTACGCAAAGTGCGACTTTTCCGCACGTAAAAACAGGTAGACGAACGACGCGAAGCGAACAACATGGTTCCTACGAGCTTCTCATCATATAACAATGAAAATAAAAAAGCACTGGCCAACTCAAAAATGGTGACGACGTTTAGAAGGTTTAATTGATCGAGTTTCTCTTCTATAAGTCTGTACTTCACTTTTGAAAAGAATTTGACCTCTTTCGGTAGGTATCCAATATTTCGCTTCTTTAAAAACGATGTTAGCTTGGAATATTGACTCAGTTCATTTTGTAGAGTAGGTAGGTGCATACTCCATACCCAGCGAGCACAAAAACATCTCAGAGATGTTAAAAGTACGAGATTTCGAGACATTGAACCTCCACTGCTGTTCTGTTCACACATAAATAGAACTAGAACAGCGAATGTCCGCCGCAGGCGGCAATTATCGAGATGTCCTTGATATGTCACAAAACTACCTTCTCCCTAGTTCTTTTTAAAGCCTTTTCATGGACACAACAAAACATTTTCAAAACGCGTCTTGCGCACATTAAATCGCTGTAAAAAACCATTTTCGAGGTACTTTTCTGAAGCCTTTTGTCAAAATGAACATTTGCATTAGGATTCCATTTCCCTTGAATGAAAAAATGCATTAAAAATAGATTGAACATAAAAACATTTTCTTGATATGAAATTAGTTTCTTAATCGGTTTCTGAGTAGTGCTTACTACACACAGACATAACATAATTGGAAATAGGTTTCCCAATTTTTGAAATGTTCTCCACAATGCATAATTTTGCAACTGTGGAGAAGCTGTGTATTGATAAATTCGTACTATTATATATTGATTACACTGAGGCACCGAACAACACATCTTGCATCTGATGGTCATTATTACAAACTAGATACCTAAGTCTTCTAACACAACGAACTTCACTAAATTCCTTTCTGTTCGTTAGCAGCGTGATGTAAGCGTGACACGCTGCAAACGCGAATGCCAATTGCGAACAAGAAGAACAAAATCGAAAACAAATCAGAATTCATCGTATTGTGACTCAAGCATGAGACGTTGTGGTGGGGCAAACAAAGAAAGGGCACAAAAGAACAAAAACAATACTTTCAATATCCTTCTAAGACCTCTTTGAGAAGTGCACATTACGCCTCAAAAAAACATCCTCATGCCTACATTTCTAAAACATCCCAAAACATCCCAGGGATACCTCTCAGTAGGCAAACAAAGAAATGGCACAGAAGAACAAAAACAATACTTCAATATCCTTCAAAGACCTCTTTGGTCAGTGCATATTACGTCTCAAAATAACATCTTCATGCCAACATTTTCAAAACATCCCAAAACATCCCAGGGATGTTTGTGCTCGCTGGGTAAGGTATTTGGCTGATATGTTTTTTGTAAATCTGCAAAATAGGCTAAGAACAACTTCTTGATACTGTTTGACCCTTTGTTGTGGAATTAAATTCAAATTATATATTGTTTCTCATATTTTTGTTGAGATTCAGCGGGCAGTAATCTCAAACTTGCAGAGTTTGCGGCCTTTTATAGGATGGAATCTGATAGCTCGTCGTCAGAACTGGTCATTTAAATAGCTTTTGAAACTTTTGATTTGATGAATAGAAAAGTGTCGGTGTTTGTAGATTCTTGCAGACAGAAACCGAAGAAAAATCTGACATCATGCAAAGTTGACAAGTGCACTAACTTATAGTTGTTATTATTTATCATTATACAACGTACTTGAATTTTTTGGCTGTTTTGAGCTGAAATATATACAAATATCGGGAAATACAGTTGCTAAAGAGGAATACACTTGCAACGGCTTCTGATATTGCATAAAATAGTCTACAGCAACTAAAATGAATTGAAATTCAGATTTTTGAGTAGTTTTACTTTTCCGCACTCAGTGCGGATACAAATCTTATCCGCACGGCATGCGGAAAAGTGGTTTTGCACATGCAAATGTATGCAGAGAACTGCACTTTGCGCATGCCCGTAAGAAAAATAGTATACAGGGTGTTGCGAAATTCGACCGACAACGCTTGACAGGCGATAGCCCTCGTTATTTCATAATCACTGAGATAGGGACATGAGGTCTTCAAGTTTTCAGTTCTCGAGATACAGGGCGTTGAAGTTGAGTAATTAAAATAGTATTTTCGCAATATCTCAAGAGACATTGAATATAATGCATTCAAATTCGGTATATGGTTTCATCTCTCAATGGTTCATTTTTTGACCCGAAAGACATTCCGATAATTTTATCCATAGGTGCGCTACAGGGGGTTGTGATAACTTTTCTTCCCATATTTTCTACGCCACTGACGGAATTTCGATTATTTACAATTTCTCGAATTGATTGTTCAATTATGTTGAAAAAATGCATCACCTTCAACTGAATTAAAATGAATAGTTATCGAGATATTTGACCCAAAATAGAAATTTGCATAGTAATTTTTCATCTCCCTCAGTAGTAGAAAATCACAAAAATATTTGTTTTCTCTTTATACGTGGAATAACTCTTTCTGTTCAGCTATAGGATGAGATCTGAATAGTTTTTAATCTACTTAACACCAGAAATATATTTTGCAATTTTCTACTACTGGAAATGATGAGATATTACAATTCTATCTTCTATTTTGGGTCGAATATCTCGGAAACTGTTCATTTCAGCTCCGTTAAAGGTGATACATTTTTTGAACAAAATTGAACAATGAATTCGTGGAATTGGAAATAATTGAAATTTAATCAGTGGCGTAGAAAATATGGGAGGAAAAGTTGCCACAACCCCCTGTAGGACACCACTGGATAAAATGTCCGGAATGGCTTTCTGGTCAAAAAATGACTCATTCGAAGATGAAACCATATACCGAATTTGAATGCATTATATTCAATTATTCTTGAGATATTGCGAAACAACTATTTTTATTTCTCAACTTCAACGCCCTGTATCTCGAGAACTGAACATTTGGAGACCGTATGTCCCTATCTCAGTGATTATGAAATCACGAGGGCTATCACCTGTCAAGCGTTGTCGGTCGAATTTCGCAACACCCTGTATAAACCACAAACCTAAAGATGTTTTCAATTCCTCAGCGAATCTTATTATTAAATTAAAAGTGCCATTGGGTTTATAATCTATATAATCTATACCGGGTGACAACGAAATCAGAGCGTCATTCAGTTGTTTCTCATGATAGACTTTTGCATTTGGATCACATATATTTTCGAAAAACGTTGTCGATAAATCATTAGTGATAAGACCTATCCAATACCTATCTATAATTTTCAATATTGCCTTGCTTACTCAGAATCATACTCACTTTTGTTTATCGTCTTCGTATGAGTGTCGCTTGCTATCGGTGTGTTTCAACATTGAAGTTTCCCTCTTCGCTTTTTGTATCCTTATTGTAGTTAATATAAACAGTATGATATTTATCACAATAACGATTGCCATTGGAAGGTAAAAGTAAAGGAGATTTGGTAATCCATCTGAAAAGAAATATTTGTCATAAGAGACTTATTTGAAATGATAATCAAGGTAAAGTTTATGCAAAGTCGGTTGAAAAGATCATCAAACGAATGTCGGGCAGCGCTGCCGCACTCTTTGATTTTTCAAAGGGAACGACGGCTTGCGGTGATGTGTTTTTCCGACTGCCTTTGCATAAACTATACATAATATATATTATAAACCCAGAATATCTTATACACTGTGCCCGAGATGAAGAGGGCCAGTATAGGAAACTACGAGATATACAGATTTGGTTGAATGTGAGAAGAGTTGCGCGAGTGAAGGACCAACAAAATGACTGTGCTGTAATTTCCGCAAGATCTGCATTGCCAGCGTTGGCCTGCCTTCGTCTTGAGTTCGTAGTTTCCTGTGAAGAAATGGGAATCCTAGAAAAGATCGCAGTATGGAGAGTACTATCGTCTGCTAAGCTGTGGATAGGGCAAGTGATTGCTCTTAATAGATCGTTGATATGGAGTGGGAAAAATGCTGGTGCCAGAATTGACCCTTGTGGAACACTGTTATTGATGGCATCTTCCTCCATCTTTCATCTTGTAGATACATACACACACTGGCACAATTAGGGGAACGGTGAAATTTACACTAAGTTTGACATCAATTTTTTCTCGAACCGATCACTCGATTCAAATTTGTTTTTCACGAATTGTAGCTTCATTCTTCACGAATACATCTGAGAAATAACCACCTCCAAACGATTCGTCTTCATATCATATACAGGGGTGTAAAGAAAGTACGGATTTTTCGGTATTCTTTAAGACATCCTGTGGAGTGAACCACTGATAATTGAAACGATTTTCCAACACCAAATTATAGCCCAATCTATCCCGAATATTTTCGTTTTTTATTCATCTCGATATCCCAATTATCCAAGAAAATATAGAGTTTCAAAGAAGAGGTATATTGGTATTAATTTTACCACCTCGAAACTCGAACTGGGGAGAACGTGTCGTTTTTCAACTTGTTTTTGTGAGGATTTTTACTTCAAGATGAGAATTGTTCACAGTTTTACCTATCGGTTTACTGTTTAAAGACACATATACGAATACTCTCATGAATATGCAGGAGTGATGAAAGTTGCTCCAATGTTCTTTTGGTGAAATGCTATTTTTGTTAATCAACGTTGGCTATTTTGTAAATGTCATTAATTATTGCCATAGTCAAGCGATTCACAATTCATAAATTTGATTAATGAAAATTCAACGTGAGAGATTTGAAAATGACCAGTGGGCCAATGTTCTTTTAACATATGAGAGCCGCATCTGCACCAATTCAATAGATGGCAGGGAAAGACTATATCGCCGAGGTGAACAAAATGAACAATTTGATTTTACTGCTTCTGTCTCCTATGGCAGAGGTTTAGTAATGGTTAGGTAAGGTTAGTCAAGAAACGACACATTTTCAGATCCAATTTGAGTTTTGAGGTGTAAAATTGATACCAATATCCACCTTTCCTTTGAAACTCTGTATTTTCTTGAATAATTGAGATATCAAGATGAATAAAAAACGAAAATATTCGGAATAGATTGGGCTCCAATTTGGTGTTGAGAAATCGTTTCAATTATCAGTGGTTCAGTCCACAGGATGTCTAAAAAAATACCAAAAAATCCGTACTTTCTTTACACCCCTGTATATGATGGAGAGACTCATCGTTTGAAGGTAATTATTTCTCAGATGTATTCTTGAAGAATGAAGCTACATTTCGTGAAGAAAAAAAATTGAATCGAGCGATCGGTTCGAAAGAAAATTGATGTCAAACTTAGTGTAAATTTTGCCCGTTCCCCTAATTGTGCCAGTGTGTGTATAATAACGTTTGACGACACACACACCCTCTCCCATACACCCTGCTCTATTGGTTGATTTTTTCCGTCTTGTTGCCGGCTGTATTATTTTGCGGAGAAATCATGTAAATATTGAACAAGTGAAATAATAAACAAGAAAACAACGATTTTACTTCAGTATAGACCTCGATTTTCGAGATATTGGAACTTTTTGAGGCCAATGTGCATCAGTTTTTTCAGAAAAGAAATTCAAAAGTTTTGTAATAGAAATCATGAAGGATCCAAATCTGAGGATATTTTTTTGATACACCATAAATATACATATATAACATTATTCTGAATATTTAACAAAAAACAACTACTTTCCTGGCTATTTGCCACGTCGAGCATTGAATTATATCTGTTGAACATCCAAAAAGAAAGCATGCAAAATTAAAATCCTTTGAAATTGAGAATTGACAATCTCTCAAATCTGATGAATAATATTATTTTTTTTTATCGCTTGGGGCGCACGAAAGGGAAAGGGAAAATTCATAGAACATCGTGCGTTCCTAGGGAGGATAGGGATAGGAGGTAGGTATTGGAATTTTTTTTAACTATAAAAATATAACTTTCCAGAATGTTCAGTATTGAAATGAAAATTTGAATGTATAGGAGAAGTAAACTTGTTATGTGCAAATACATATTTTTATCTGAAGGAGAATGCAAATTCTCAACTTCAGAAGAATTAGTTCTCAAATTCTTATCGTGTGTGTTCATATAGCTAAGAAAGTAGTTGTTTTTTGTTGAATAAACCGAGGAAGAATCAATATTTTTATCACATGGAGAATGCGAATTCTCAATGTATTTCTTTATTATGTATATCCATTTTCCTATCCATTTTGTTCATATATAATTTATCTGAGAATATTCCTTTTCAATACTTTCACCCAATCAAGGGGTTCAAACTTGAACGATGGAAACTTGTTATTTTTGTAGACCTTCAATCGCAGATTCGTGATTAGGATTTCTCAATTTAGAATTTCTTTCCACGTCCTGTATGATGTCAATTTGTCATACATCCAAAAATCTATTTTTTCTGTGACGGGAAAAAAGTTTGGCATTTCATCTCTTTCGGCAGGTTATAAAATGTCACTTTTCATGAATTACTTTTTTCCCGTGGGCAAAAAGTGAGTACTTTTTTCCCGGATATATATTACATATATATGTATATACTGTTGATGGCTTTTGTCATTCGACTTCGCGGTTACGTATATTACTAAACAACCACTAAATCACAATTTTTTAAAATCAAATCACAGAATTAGACTGACAGAAGTGACATCAGATATTTGATTACTTCAAAAGAATGATAAAGATGCCTACAACGCAGGAGTCCCTATATACTGTTAAAAACTTAAAATTCGACGTCGATAATTTTCATATTTCAAAATAATGTAATATCTTCCCAATATTGATTCGTCCTTTCTTCTGCCACAGAAAAAAATAGTGTATTATAGACGGGAAAAATATAAGATTTGAGCTCACAACACAACTTGGAGCTAAAATCTACAACTTTTTTCCCTTTTATAATAAATAACTATTATTGATTATTGCACAACTTTTTGCCCATTTAGCCTACTGTGCAACTCCCCATCCCCATGCTGTATACATATTATGTTTGTTTATTATGTAAGGCATAATGAAAATTCATGGAAATCGTATTAACCTACTTCCAATATGTAATGTGAAACATTACGACACTGATTTTAGTAACGTAATGAGATACTTATCCGCACAAGTGCGGTAAAGTAACCACTTTACCGCACTAGTGTGGTAAAATGAAAAATTTATATTTCAAAATTTTTTATTCATTTTTTTTTCTCAAAAAAATTAATAAGAACCAATTTATCATGAATATAGCAGGTGCTAAAGTTTCGATTGCTGCAATCGCCGCAATTTCTATATCGGAATCTAAACTTTATTCCTGATCCGAATTCATGTCGATGATTTTTTTTTTTAATTGAAATTGCGCCAAAGTTGACAGTTCGCCGAATGAGTGACAACCGAGAACACAATTGATTCACGACAACCATAAGCCCAACCCTTGCAACGCTTGCTTGTTACATATATTCCTAATGAATCGTCAGTTCAAGGAATATTGAATATTTTTGATTTAATAAATAGATTTTTGGTAGTAGGTAAAATCTTGTACTATATTCGTATCGTAAACTCGTATTACGATAATCGATGGGTTATCAAATTCCCCATCTCATATCGTAATATGAGTCTTTACCATACTCGTATCGACCGTATCGTAAATATCTATTACCTTCAACGAAACATTTTCTGTATCCAAGTTGTGGATGATAAGCGGACCTCTCGTCTCCGTAAGTGTTCAGCAAGAAAACCGTCAAGATGTGTAGCAGAGGGACTCCCCAGGCGTATAGGCAATAGATGATGAACCTTTTCTTTTCTGCACTTTTTTTTCCATTGAATCCTCTTATACCGCTGCAAAAGAAATAAAACTAACAAGTTCAGTGTATTTTCCCGGTACCCGTCATAATAATAAACCTGAATATTCCTTGAACAATCCAACTTGAATTTTCATCTTCGAATTTTTGTTCTGAAATATTCCGTGTATATTAGTGGTGCCCACGAGAGTCTCGTTTTCGAGAGTCTCGCATGGTCTCGTCTCGTTTTCGAGACAAGACTCGAGACGAGACTCGGTCAAGACGAGACGAGACTTTTATTGGTCTCGTCTCGAGTCTCGTGCAAGACGTCTCGTGCGAGAGTCTCGCAGGTAAATATTTCTGCGTGCCGACTGCAGACTTGAGAATTACATTCATAATACAACATATTTAGAAAGAATTCAGACTATTTAGCACAGATAGACAAAACATTTCATTCATAAATACTTTAAAAACACAAATCATGATTGTGGTAAAACGACGTAATGCGTGAAACGAAAACGGACTATTCTCTCTCTTACGGCGGAATAATGTTGGATTAAAGTTTTTGTTTTGTTTGTTTAGAATATACGTTCATTATTCCAAATTTTTTGGGATTTTCTCTCCTCGTTTCTATAAAATAAAAATATGAATATTATTTCAATATACGTGTAGTAAGGACAAATCAGATGATTTGCCCCAAAATGTCCTTACTACACGTATATTGAAATAATATTCATATTTTTATTTTATAGAAACGAGGAGAGAAAATCCCAAAAAATTTGGAATAATGAATATACCACCTCCTCGATTAACCTACAGACAGTATTTAAAATATACGTGTTTCTTTTCATTTTATTTTTATTACTTTCGAATATATAATGCCTTTTTTTTATTGTTCAGTTGAATGATGTAGGTATGTACCTATTAGGTACTTTCTTTTCAATAACTAATGTTATTTTCGTTGTAATTTTCTCTTCTCACTTCTACATTATACCTAAAAAGTAGGTAAATTTAAATATCCCGTACTAGACTGGAACAAGATTATGCATGACGAAATTGCGATACATTTGCGAGACTCTCGTACGAGACGCGAGACAAGACGAGACTCGAAACTGCGAGACGAGACTCGAGATAAGACTTCATATTTCATCGGCGAGACGAGACGAGACTTTATGAAAGTCTCGTCTCGTTGGTCTCGTGTGAATCACTAGTGTATATTATTTTGGAATATAACTAGAATATTCAAATTTGAATATTCTTTGGATATTCCAGAGGGACATATATATTCTGGGAATAATCGGTGGATATTCGGAATATACTCTCCTCTTTTAGCATATTTAGAGGATATTCTAGGAATATCCAATGCTGTCTGGGATACCATGTTTTCCAGAACATTAAAAGGGGCATACAGGGTATATCTCGAAAATGGAGCGATAACTTTAATGGGATGTTGTATGAGACATAATAACACAATAAAATCACAAAAAAATATTCGATTTTTTCAAATGTTCTATACAGTGTGTCCCACTTACCATGCTCACCATGGGTATCTTTTTAACGGTGAGAGATACGAGGTCGGTTAAATGACACCAAATGTGGAGTTCGTCAAGGCAAACTATAATGTGAAAAAATATTTTGATAAAATCTATTCGTTTTTGTTTTATACGCAAAAAACAGATTTTGATCATTATCATGTCTCCTCCGTAACTTCTTTATTTATGAGAATATTCAAATAGGAATTTCACATTCTCATGGCAGTTTTTCAAAATGATTTCGAAAAAAATATGAAATTTTATACCAACTCTTCAAGAATTTGAGATATCAGCACCAACTTTAGTTTTTCAAATGTAGGTCATAGCCCACTATGACTTGGTTACAAATAACTTTTTTTTCTCTCACAGATGATGTGTCGCAGTAATAGTTTTGTGTTGATAACAACGAAGTTATCGTCATTTATACAAAAACAAAACATTATTTCAAAGCCGCCATCTTGAATTTATAAATGTTAACAAAAAAATCATGATCTCCGACCTCAAAAACCCCCACTTACCAATTTTGAATGGAATCGGACCAAATCTTGTCCGCCATCTTGGAGCAGCCATTTTTTTTTAATTTCAACAAAAATTCCATAATGAATTTTCACCAAAATTATGAACACCTGCCAAATATCAAGTTAATCGGAGTGGAATTTTCGCTGAAATTTAAAAAAATGGCTGCTCCAAGATGGCGGACAAGATTTGGTCCGATTCCATTCAAAATTGGTAAGTGGGGGTTTCTGAGGTCGGAGATCATGATTTTTTTGTTGAAATTTATAAATTCAAGATAGCGGCTTTGAAATAATTTTTTGTTTTTGTATAAATGACGATAACTCCGTTGTTATCAACACAAAACTATTATTGCGACACATCATCTGTAAGAGAAAAAGATGTTCTTTGTAACTAAGTCATAGTGAGCTATGACCTACATTTGAAAAACTGAAGTTGGTGCTGATATCTCAAATTCTAGAAGAGTTGGTATGAATTTCATATTTTTTTCGAAATCATTTTGAAAAACTGCCATGAGAATGTGAAGTTCCTATTTGAATATTTTCATAAATAAAGAAGTTACGGAGGAGACATATGAAAATGATCAAAATCTGTTTTTTGCGTATAAAACAAAAACGAATAGATTTCATCAAAATATTTTTTCACATTATAGTTGGCCTTGACAAACTCCACATTTGGTGTCATTTAACCGACCTCGTATCTCTCATCGTTAAAAAGATACCCATGCATGGTGAGCATGGTAAGTGGGACACACTGTAGACAAACAAGTTCTGGTAACGAATTGTTCGACATATCTCGCCCAGATTGACGACAATAGGATGTGCTGACTGGGCTTGTCGAGTACGTCTGACTGTCATTCAATTTTATTCTGATTTGATTTGATTATTAATCAATCAATATAATTCACGGAAATATTACAATTTATTAAACGTTGGTAGTAGTCCATTGAGGCTCAAAGTGGAGTGATAGGGCTCATATATATATATTCAATGAGAAAAGCACAAAGTCTTATCCACGACATTTTAATTTGAAAACATCAAATTAGGAACATGTTTGGGACATATGCAATGTCTATCTTCAGTTTATGCTTAGAAGTCCTACAATACAAGATACATCATAATATGAATAAAAACATTTTTGAATGGATAGTACTCACATGGAAATGAAAAGGTTATGTTACATTCTGAAAAGTATTGATAAAAAATGGTGTTTTTTCAAGGAGTGTAGAACGGATTCTGAGGTTCAACCTTTGCCGTTCCTTCTTGCACAAAATGGCGTTCTGGAAGCAGGTAAATTTTTTTATCTTCCTCAACATCAACAATTGTTGGTTACTATTTATTGCGAGCCTCATCGTCGTCCTCCATAATTTGATTTGTCCATGTTGGGACCCCTTAAAAAACCCTTTTTAACAATAATAATTTTCAAAATGTAACATAACCTTTTCAAATAAGCATACACCCACCGAGGGAGAAATTTAATGACAATATAAATATGGACTTGGGAACAATTCTTGAATGGGGATCCACAAACTTGGTAGATTTCAATGCAAACAAAACACAAGCATGCCTTTTCTCTAGAAAAGCCGATCTCACTGTGCCCAACATAAGCTTGTCAGGAGTATAACCATACCTTTGAAGACATCCATTTCGATGCTTGGTATTACTATCAGCCCTAACAACACAGGGATGTCCTAGGTACGTCCCTTTTTTGTCCCGCGGTACAAGGACATGATTGGGGCATCCAGGACATCCCGCCCGGTACATCCCTAGGTTATCCTATTCGTGTCCCTGGAATATCTGATATCCATTCACATCAGAGTCATTGAATTTCATCAAAGTATTAAGTTGCATTTTTTGAAAATGTTTGTTTTTCTTCCGGAAAATAATCGTAATGAAAATGGAGAATAAAGTTTCAGAACTTCTTGAAAAATTACCATTTTTCGCAAACAGAAATCGTACATGCATAATGCCCCTCAATTTTAAACACCCAAGAATAATATAATAATTATACCCAAATCCTAACAAAGTTGTATTTATTCAGGTTTCTGTAGTTAAGTCCTGTTTATAAATCTGTTCAGTACATAAATCTTCAGGAGGCTCAATAGCCAATGGAGTAAGATGCGTGCCTGATAAGCCAAAGGTCCCGGGTTCAATCCGTATTCGACCTACATTTTTTTCTTTTGTCGAAGGGATGTCCCTGGGATATTCTTGGGACTTCCTAGGGATATCCTTTATTCGTACTTGGTACATCCCAGGGACGTACCAGAAGGACATCCCTAGGATGCCTCTTTTTGTGGAAATGAAGGACGTCTCTGGGACGTACTCGTGTTGTTAGGGAGCAATAACCTTCCTGGGAAGATTGAAAAACGTGAGATCAATTGCTAAAGGTGCATTCCAACAACTTGGTTTTCTGTTTCGGGCCAGGAGCTATTTCACTTCCAGTCAGCTGCTTATGATCTATAAGGCACAGATCCGACCTGTCCTGGAATACTATTCCCATATTTGGAGTGCAGCACCCAAACATACCCCGAAACTGTTGCATTTTGTCCAAAAAAGGGCAATTCGTCTCGTGGGTGATGCCTCGCTCACAAACTCACTCACTTCTCTGGAACACCGTAGAAAAGTTGGCGATCTGGCTCTATTTCATAGATATTTTCATGGACGATGCTGTTCTGAAATAGCAATAATTTGTTCCTCCCTTGGCATTCCCCGCGAGATTAACCCGTCGAGTTGAGGCTTCGCACCCCTTCGTGGTCACTTTGGAGACCTGCAGAACATTTCTTTCCAAAGACTGGATCGTCCAACAAAACATCAAAACAAACCGCTCAGAAGTGTTCAAGTTGTTGCCGTCTGGTGGGGCAACGTGTTATTTTTTAACACGAATTATGATGTATTGTAGGACTTCTCAGCATTGGCAGATGATGTACATTGCATATGTCCAAATAACATGTTCCTAATTTGATGTTTTCAAATCGAATAGTGCTGATGACTTTGTGCTTTTCTCATTGAATATGTTACAATTTATTGTTACGTAGGTATTACGTTTTGAATTTTTGGCTACGGCCGGTGAATCTCCTAGGAAACGTCGGTAATCGGTGAATACCCAATAAGATTTGTGGCTACCACACAGTTTTACTGATTGTTGGCAAAAACTGCAATTATCAAACCATATCTACCGTTCTATTTTAAATCTACCGCTTTCTTATGTCTATCTCATTATTGATCTGGCAACACTGGCGAAGCCGACCGAATCAGTCTATCTCCAGCTATGTTGCCATTCACATGCTCTATCCCAGCAAACACAGTTACATCACAGAGATATCGCAGCGATGTAACAATTGTGACCTGCGTTGTCAGAGGGATGTTATTTTGTCCCACTCAAGTTTCATCCATGCGGATAAGTTCTCTGCGATATAACAGTGATATATTTTTCACAATATAATTGCTATATGCTATTTGTAATGGAATAGCGATGTGTTTTTGCGATAAAACTACGATGTGATGCAAGATGACATCGCAGTAGAACGAAAAAAAAAAGTGTCTTCGAGCATGGTGTACCTAATAATAGAGGTACACCACTGTCTTTTGATAACATCTAATATTGATTATGTGTTCTTGTGACTATAGTGGGTGGTCCCTCGGATCTCCTATCCATTCAATCGTCTTTTCAGCGGCGCTATCCTTGGTAATGACTCTCGATCAGATACTCAATTATGTATTTTGTGTCGCGAGATATAAGCAACCCAAAAATAATTTGATAGCAATGTAACTAATCTTAGCGAATTTAGCTTCACTTTGTTGAATAACTGTGTTGCCTTATCGCGTCATCTCAGAGATGTCATGTCGCAAATGTCTTTGGTTCTGTACATCGCAGCGACGGAAAAATTCGTAATATCGCAGTGTTGCATCATCGCGACATCTCAGAGATGTCATGTAGCAGATGTGTTTGCTTCTGTACATCGCAGCGATGGAACATTCTTAATATCGCAGTGTTGCATCATCGCGACATTTTAGAGATGTCATCTGGCAAATTTGTTTGCGTCTGTATATCGCAGCGACGGAAAAATTCATAATATCGCAGTGTTGCATCCTCGCGACATCTCAGAGATGTCATGTAGCAGATGTGTTTGCTTCTGTACATCGCAGCGATGGAACATTCTTAATATCGCAGTGTTGCATCATCGCGACATCTTAGATATGTCATGTGGCGAATGTGTTTGCGTCTGTATATCGCAGCGATAGAACATTCGTGATAACGCAGTGTTCCCTCATCGCGACATCTCAGATATGTCATGTGGCAGATGTGTTTGCTTCTGTACATCGCAGCGATGGAGCATTCGCGATATCGCAGTGTTGTCTCATCATGACATCTCAGAGATGTAATGTCGAAGCTGTGTATTTGCTTTAGTACATCTTAGCGATGGAGCATTTGCGATATCGCAGTGTTTTTTTAGCCGGTGAGTGTATTTTCTTAATGTCAATTCAACTAGATATTTCAAGAGTAATTCATATTACAAGGGTTGGATGGAGTAAATTGAAAAACACTGTATATATTATTGTTTCACGAACCTGAATGCTAGCCACATATCAATACACATGACGTTCATCCAGAAGAATGATACTGTGAAGAAAAATATGATGGAGTAACCTAGAACAAAAAAAACATATTTCATTATAATGCATGTTTTAAAAATATATAAAAAAAAGTATATAGTAACGACGTAAAAAGTCCTAAGAAAAAATCGTCGTTTTTTTCATTCATTTTACACACAAATATAGAAACTTGTACGTCTTGGTAATTTCATATATTAGTAGAGTGCCAAACGAACTGTAAGTCGCTTAGATCAAAAGTTGGTGGGAAATCGGAGGTAAAAAGCTGTGACATGGCTAGAATTGTTACCTACCATCTCCAGATCATGGATCCACTTGTCGTCAAAAAATCGTCCTGTGCGTTTGGGGGGTAGGGGGTAATTTATAAAAAAATATGGATTTTTTTTTTATCCGTGGAAAATATTGATGGGTTCCAGAACTTCCACCCTGTCGAATCTTGATTTCCTGTGACAAGTAGAACAAATCATAGAAAATTTTGAAATTCACCAATTACATTACGATATATGAGAAAATCATATTTCAAACGGCTATAACTCGAAACTTGTAAATTTTCGTTAAATTGCTTTTCATATACCTCGCATTATCTCAGTAACTACAACGTTTATCAGAAAAATACTCGAAATAATGTCGATGCGCCTATGTTTGAAGATGCGAATGGTTCTTCGATTTTGAAAATCGAAGCATAAATAAGGAAGCTATTGGGAAAATCATAATACAATACAGGTAGTACGAAGGACGGCGACTCGCCGATTTCATACCCCGATTCTCCCCGTAACGCCCGCAGCCGTCCTAGTACTATCACCGTAAATATGAATTACTGAGTGTTACTATTACAGAATAGTACGATCTTGGAATTCACGGGACAAATGGAATTGATCGCTATTTTCCAAGTTAACAGAAATTTATTTCAACTTGCTGTGTGATTGAAAGTGCCCTCCATTTATTTTATGAATGATTCTATCTCGAAAGTACATTTATTATCCATCAGAGTAAAATGTCAACCATCATATCATGCATTTATTAACAAATTGACAAATATTGAAACAAAACAAGATGCATATAATATTGAAATAAAAATAAGATATCCTTGTGGAAACTTGAAGAAAACATTATTTGATACCTATCGAATTGCCAAGTTGTGAACACACGTAAATACGATACAGTGTCCACATGCAAGAACACAAAGCTACGATAATTTTTTTCGATCATGTCTCTTGATGAATCAATATTCCCAAACCAACGTGTTTCGGTGTGAGTTTTTTGAATTTCGAATTAGCGAGTATTATACCTTGACATCAGATACTCAACACCTTTGAATCAACTGAATCAACTTTATCGTGTATAAGGCAACTAATTCAAAAAAAGTTTTTTTGGTATCATATCTTTGTAAGCCTTGACATTCATATTTTTCAGTTGTTTATAATCTGGAATATCTCTCATATCTTGATGAATATCTCAAAAAAATTTGTGTATCTGGGCCATATCTGATGCATACAAAGTCAGGGGAGTTATCTTCTGTAATTTCACTTTGTTCTTTATATGTGTATGAATCAGATATGAGTTCTTGTCACTTTTGGAATCACAAATTACGACTCATTAGAACGTTTTGATTTATTTGATAATTTCTATTTCCTTGTCGTAGTGCTTTCTGATTTCTTCGATGAATTCATTTTACTTGATTTTTCGAGATTTTCTCTCCTCGTTTCTCTGGACGTTTCGGGAACGAATCTGCTCCCGTTCTCAACATAAAAATGCAAAACATTTTTCTTTGGACGTTGCATTTTCATGTTGAGAACATGAGCAGATTCGTTGCCGAACCGTCCAAAGAAACGAGGAGAGAAAATCCCAAAAAATCAAGTGAAATGAATGTTTCACCTTCTCGATTAACCTACAGACAGCAGTAATCTTCGATTAAGATTTTCCTACCAGTTTTGCCACCAAGTTCGGCATATTTTTGATATAAACAGTTGAAAGTATACCCTTTTTCATTTATAAAATCTGCACCATCTATTAATTTCATCAGATTATCAAATTCTTTGTCATGTGTGGTATGACAACTTTATTCTCACTCAGTGATCCTCTATAATATTTCCAATTCGATACAAAGCATTGGTTATGATACTTGACTTCCATGGCAATAAACAATGTTGGAAGTCAATACTAGGTCAAAACTTGACTCTTATTTGAACGTTTTTTGGTAGAAAATTCTTTTAGACGCATCAAAAATACCTTCACATCAATTTCACTATAGAAAGCGTTTTATTCCTGACATTATTGTCTCCAGTTTTCAATATTCCTGTGCCAGAAGATCAATTGACCTTTATTTTCATTGAAAATATCGTCAATTCTCTGGAGTTCCATATCGATTTGCCTCGCATAGTTTTTTCCGAGGTTTTTTCTTATATTCATACAACTTTCAAATGTTTTTATCGATAATTCTGTACAACGAAGGAGTTGACCATCTTTTCCACAAATGAAACATTTTCTCGATGATGAACTTTGCTGGAAAGGAATCTTCAACTTCAAGACATATTCAAGATCAGTGTCTGAATTGCTAGTACTTTCCATCTTTCATCTAGAGAAACATATATTTTATGATAAATTTACAATAATAGATTTCGTTAGCTGATCAATACTTATTTAATTATTGAAACAGAACACACAGTACCAAATATCGAATAATTAATTCACAATAAGTCACCATTAAATGCAATGGTCAAATGCAAAAACTTCACAAACGATAATGGTCAAAGCCGCAATGTTGAAGTGTATAACGAAAGCGTATGGAACCATGATAGCCGCGGGTATTGCGGGGAGAATAGGGGTACGAATGCGGCGAAACGCGTTCGTCCGTGGTACCTGCATTTCATTATGATTTTCTCAATATCTTCCTTATTTATGTTTCGATTTTCGAAATCGAAGAACCATTCGCATCTTGAAACATAGGCGCATCGACATTATTTGAAGTATTTTTTTGATAAACGTTGTAGCTACTGAGATAATGCGAGGTATATGAAAAACAATTTAACGAGAATTTACAAGTTTTGAGTTATAGGCGTTTGAAATATGATTCTCTCATATATCGTAATGTAATAAGTAAATTTCAAAATTTTCTATAATTTGTTCTACTTGTCACACGAAATCAAGATTCAACAGGGTGGAAGTTCTGAAACCCATAAATATTTTCCACGAATAAAAAAAAAAATCCATATTTTTTTATAAATTACCCCCTACCCCCCAAACGCACAGGACGATTTTTTGACGACAAGTGGATCCATGATCTGGAGATGGTAGGCAACAATTCTAGCCATGTCACAGCTTTTTACCTCCGATTTCCCACGGGGTGAACGATAGGATTCGATTGGCACTCTACTATATATGCTTCTAACGTCGATAGAAGTATAACTCATAAAAACAAATCAACATGCAAGTTTTATTGGAATTATATATACCCAAAAAGTGAGAGAAAACTTTTTTCAAACTTTGACACCCTGTATATCTTGGGAACCAATAAGCTTCGTCATTCAGAAAATTTTTCAATAATTTACTATTTAGATTTTTGTTGGGTGACAAATAATGCATGAAAATACATTACTCAAAAAAGTGAAGCTAAAGGACCCCGCACGAAAACACGGGAAATTGGCTATCGGTCGAATTGGCTGAAATTTGACTATGTTGTTGTGGGATGGCTCATTAGAAATATATGTGAGTTTAAAAAGTTTTGTATGTTTAGTTTCTGAGATATAAGCCGACAAATTTCGTAAAAACGTCGTATCGGGGTAGGATTGACAAAGAAAACAACTGTTTTTTCAGTATAAATGAAACAAAATAAGCTAGAAAATGTATTGATCGGAACTCATAAACATGTCTAGTTATAATCACATGAATTATAGTGAATCAGGGTGTATACGAGGCACGGACAAAAAATTCATTTTTCGGAAAAAAAATTCGAGCACTATTCCAAAACCAACAAGTTATATTTTGGTGGAATATTATAGTTTCAGTCTATTGTTGGCTTCGAAAACGTATTTTGATTCTTGATAACTATCTCTGTTCGAAATATGAATTTTTAGAATTTTATGTTATACCCCTTTTCGAAAACAATTGAAAGCTTGTTTTTGATCACAAAGAAAGGAATTGATTGATACTGTTGATTGAATGAGAGGTGGGGAAACTTATTAGCGAATTCAGTTGTTCAATATTGCCTTTCATTTAGATACAGGGTGTGTTAGATTTTGTTGAAGATTATTTAACATGTTTCAATTGTATATCTCGAAAACAGTTCCGTTAATTTGGATCTCATTTCACACACACACTATTTTGAATATGTTGATTATCATATGCAAAAAGTTTTTCAATTTTTTTATGTTTCGTTTCTGAGATATGCATTTTTGAGTTTACAGTATTACAAGTATTATAGGATTATTACCTCGGATATTACTATCAAAAATTGATATCTCAGAAACGAAACATAAAAAATTGAAAAACTTTTTGCATATGATAGTTAACATATTCAAAATAGTGTGTGTAAAATGAGATCCAAATTAACGGAACTGCTTTCGAGATATTCAATTGAAACATGTTAAATAATCTTCAACAAAATCTAATACACCCTGTATCTAAATGAAAGGCAATATTGAACAACTGAATTCGCTAGTAAGTTTTCTCACCTTTCATTCAATCAACAGTATCAATAAATTCCTTTCTTTGTGATCAAAAACAAGCTTTCAAATGTTTTCAAAAGGGGTATAACACAAAATTCAAAGAATTCATATTTCGAACAGAGATAATAGTTATCAAGAATCAAAATACGTTTTCGAAGCCTACAATAGACTAAAACTATAATGTCTCACCAAAATATAACTTGTTGGCTTTGGAATAGTACTCAAATTTTTTTTCCGAAAAATGAATTTTTTGACCGTGCCTCGTATACACCCTGATTTACTATAATTCATGTGATCATAACTAGACATGTTTTTGAGTTCCGATCAATACATTTTCTAGCTTATTTTGTCTTATTTATACTAAAAAAACTGT